TTTACAAAGGAATACAAGGATACATACCTTCTAAGCAGACACGACTTTCAGTTTTCTCTTCCACGCTGGGGAGAAAATTGCAAGGCACCGTTATCGATTCATCTCTCATTCCTCCTGGGGACCAGGACTTGCAAAAGACCCATTTTCCAAAGCTATACCCCACCACGACTTGTGATGAGTGGGTCTGGGTCACCAGATGCCCCCATGTCTTGGCAGAGTGCAGGCACACTGTTTGTTAGATAAATTATTGATTAAGTAACCCTCCTTCTCTGAGCTACTTTGAGTGGATGTTTGCTCCTGATATCCAAAGAGGTTTTGATTGGCATGGTCCGGCTTTCTTTAACTGACACACAGGTTGGCGGCTCATTCCGATGATCAGGCAAGTGCTCTTTATTTTAATTTTTAACGTGATGATTTACGGTGGGTTTAGCATGCTCCAGAATTGGTGCAAAATATTTTACTGCAGGATCTTACTGAAGCCACACAACAATTTGGGTCAGTACATACCATTTAGCACACACAACCATCAGCAATGAGCACCATCTTAACCCAAGCTTAGTAGAAACTAAGAGTCCGAGTCGGGACAGGTGATCTGACCCAAGTTCATGCACACAGTACATGACAGAGCTGCTATCAGAACCTAGACTGGGCACATCATTTAACCTTTCTTAGCTTTGGTTTCCTAACTGCAAAATGGGACAATAGTGTCTGTGAAGATGAAATGTTTTCAGACCTGAAGACACACACATATAAAAGTGCCTAACACAGTGCCTGACACTCAGCGCTTGCTAAATATTTGTTTAAAATGACAGTAAGGCAAGGATTCTTTTTAAAAATATTTTATTTATTTATTTGACAGAGAGAAAGAGAGAGAGAGCACAAGCAGGGGGAGTGGCAGAGGGAGAGGGAGAAGCAGACTCCCCACTGAGCAGGGAGCCCAATACGGGGCTTGATTCTAGGACCCTGGGATCATGACCCGAGCTGAAGGCAGATGCTTAACCAACTGAGCCACCCAGGCACCCCAAGGCACGGATTCTTAATTGGGGTTCATGCATGGGCTCCAGGAGATCTGATTACTCCCTCAAATTACACACAATATTTTATATCTATATCAATGTACATTTTTGGGCGGGGTAAGGGGAGAGTGTTTGCTTCCAATGGTTTTCACACAGGTCTGTGCTCTCTCCCACCTCCCCCCCAACAAAGTGAAAAATATATACTTTAAAGGAAACTTAAGGTTCTCCCTTGCCCCAACTTTTTGCTCTCTCGGTTCCGAGAAGGAAGAGTTTTGCTGAGTTGCGAGCAAGGTGGAGATTTCACGTGATCGGTAAAGAAGAGAAAGCCCTGATTTCTGCCAGGGGGACCTGGCCCTCTGGGCTGTGGCCCGTGTCGGTTCTCTCACTTGGGGATCTGTGTGGCTGAAACTGTTAACACTGGGTCCCTTCCTTCTGGGGAGATATTGGAGGAGAGGTGGGGCCTTTTAGGTCTCCCTGTCCCAGGCAAGCAAATCCTCCCAAGTACACGGGTCTGCGCCTCACTGGTCAGGGATGGGGGCCAAAACTTAGGGTGTGATCAAGTGTTTCTTTGCCCGATTTTCTTATCTGGATCTCACTGGTGGTGGCTTTTAAGCAGGAGAGAATTTGGAGATCGACATTCCATCTGATATCTCTCTGCCTCTCAACAGAATAGTTTAGCATTTTTTTTAACCATCCTTTGTGATTACACACACACACACACACACACACACGAGCCAAGTCTCAGATGGAAGGTTTCCAACCGTTCAACTGCCTTTAACTGATAAAGATCTAGGCAATTTTATTTCCTATTTTAGCTTCAAAATTTGGGAATAAAATCAGCCATTTTTGTCTCTTTTTAACATATAATCCAAATAATAGTACAAAACGTTTATTGAGCACTTACTTTATGTTCACAACTGAGCTAGTGTGTTACATACATTATTATTATTCCCCCAAGCACCCCCATGAGGTTACATATGCTATTATCCCCATTCATAGATTAAGAAGTCTTGGAGAGGATAAAGAACATATCCAAAGTCTCTTGATGGGTGTCTTATTGGAAACTTCAATTGCTAAATTGTCACTGATTTGCCTCATGCAACAGTAGGAAGTGTGTGGTGAGGGCATGGAGTGCCATCGGTGAGGACACTTGGGTTTAATTTTCATCTCTCCCCCAGCAGGAAATACCAATTCTCAGTGTTTCCCCCCAACAAAGCAGGTATCCTGATAGCTGCCTCCCACCACATCAATGATGTGACCTCTTCCTGAGGATACACACACACCCCCAAAAGACAAAGGGTTATTCAGCTTAGTTCATACATTCTAGATTCTTAGACGTCGGCCAGCGATGACTTACCCTCTGAACTCTGTGCGGAAGAAAATCCAGATTTGTTATTCTCTATTGAGCCAGCAAGTGCTAGAAATTAAAGTTTCAATAACACCCTCTATCTTCTCACTTCCCTACTCATTATATAATAGAATTGTTGTATTAGTCAGCTTGGGTTGCCATAACAAAGTAGCGTGGGCTGGGAGGCTGAGACAACACACATTAATGTCTCGCCGTTCTGGGAAGTCCAAGATCAAGATCCCGGCCGGTCTGGTTCCTGGTGAGGACCTTCTTCCTGGCTTACCGATGCCACCTTCTTGCTGTGTGGTTTATCTTTTCTCCTCTTCTTTGAGATCATGGATCCCATCCCATCATGAGCCCATCTAACTCCAGTTATCTCCCAAAGACCTGATATCTCAGGACACCTGGATGGCTCAGTCGGTTAAGTGGCTGGTTCTCAATTCCAGCTCATGTCATGATCTCAGGGTCATGAGATTGAGCCCCATGTTGGGCTCCACACTCAGTGTAGAATTTGCTTGAGGACTCTCTCTCTCTCTCTCTCTCTCTCCCTCTCTGCCCCTCCTCTGTCACGCTCTCTCTCTCTTTCTCTAAATAAAATAAATCTTTAACAAAACAAAACAAAACAAAGACCTAATATCTCTAAGAACCATCACACAGATGGTTGGAGGGGACCCAACTCAGTCCATAGCTATTGTGGTTTAAGACAACTGGGGACCAATGTAGGGCTGTTGACATTATTTTACTGAGTAACTAATTATTTAATTAAAGTTCATTAAATTTGATTGATTAACATGGGAATAGACTGGAGGAAGGCCCTTAAAATGAAATGCATCTGGCTCTATAAAATACCTATGCTACTGTTCTCAATTTTTCACCTCACTGTGGACTCAGTAAACTTTGTCACAAAATGAATTTTGTGAACCACTGCTGTTGAAAGGTTTTGTGTGAGTTTACAATTAAAGAGATAGGAAGTTTGCTTTGTTTTTTAACAAATGTATTTTGAGTTGGACTAATTTGTCCACACAGTTTTCCTAATTTTTGAACTGTTGGGGTTCTGCTCTGAGGTGAAGATATTGGGAACAGTCACCGATGGACCTTCCAAGCTAAGACGGGTTTATTCAGCCCCTTCCAGGACATCCAAGTGGACAATTTTAGCTCTTTATCTATTCATGGTTCATACTATCCTTGGTTATTCGGTGTAAAATGGTCATTTCAATCTTTGATGAATAACTAGACTCAGAGATATTAACCCCTGCAACTAATTTCTATCCCAACGAACCATAGGCCTCTGGATATAGTTGGAGAAGAATTTCAGTTAAGACTCATGACGTCTCAGCTCCAGCTGGGACTTCAAATCTTGTTTCCAGAACACAAAGAACACTTGATAAAGCTGGAGAGAAATATTTTTTGAAAATATGTCACCAGGCAGCTTGGGAGTGATTTAACAGAACCATCCTACAGGGTATGAATTTAACCTTTGATCTCTGAAATGAAGGTCAGCAAATTTGTTTTTACTTTACATCTCTTATAATCAACTCAATGCCTGGGTGAATCAGTTTCTGAGGAAGAGGCTATGTTTTCGGATAAGTGACACATTCGCCCTACAATTTTTAGCCACTTAACCCCCTCTTTGCTGAATTAAACTCTACTGTTTCCCTCAACTTTTTTTGTGTGTGAGAGAGAAATCTAAAATCTTAAGATGTAATATATTAGAAGTGGGGGGGATGTCATACTGTTGTCTGCAAAAGAAATAAAATGTCCAACAAAATGTTGTAGTTACTTTTTTCTCTTTGGAGACAAACACATGAAAAGATACTGGTTTTTATCTATCAGTTCACCTGATGCCTTCTTGCTAATCCATACTTTCAGTCAGGGTCGGCCACCTATAGCCCATGGGCTAAATCCAACCCACTTTCTTTGTAAATAAAGTTTTATTGGAACACAACCAGGCTTATTCACGTATTTTCTCTGGCTGCTTCCATGCGGCAATGACAGTGTTGAGTAGTTGCAACAGAGATTTTTATGTCCCACAAAGCCTAAAATATTTACTTTCTGGGCCTTTACACATGATGTTTGCCAACCCATGCTTTAAATCAAAGAAAGAGGCTTGGAGTGGTGACATTGGGAAAATATATCCTTAGCCCAGATACAACAATGCCTTGGAGGGTAAATGAGGATGGACACCGGTTTCAATCCAAATATTCACTTTGCAGCAACAGAGTCGGAATAACATCAAGCTGATGAAAAGAACAATAGTTGGGCATGCATTGTAATGAGGTATAGATATAGCAGCTAAATTTATTCCTCTGATTCTCCAGCAGCCTATCTAATAAAAATCCGCTATGGTAGAGACGAACCCAGAATCTTCAGCTAATGTCAGCCATTTGGGAATACACGTTCCTTCTCTGCAGCAGATGTGTGGCTCAAAGTTCATCACAAGTGCGCTCACAGGGAGAGCACAGCATGTGTTGTTCTGTGGGGGACCAGCACTGGCCTGTCAATGGAATAACGAATTTGGGTAAAGGACACTGGGAAACAGTGGAGCGGGGGCCGGGCGAGAACTTAGCACAAAACAGTTTTAACCCTTTCTGGGCATGACTTTAGTTACTTTTTAAATAATGATGATTCTGTGTAAGACATGCCTATAGAATTTAAAGCACAATAATGAGATGCATTCAGTGGGTGTCCTTGCCAGTCGTCCTTCGGGGGTCTGGGATTCCAAGCTCCAACCTCCACTCCCCTGTCTAGGAAGGGGAGTGCATAGGCTCCCTCAGCTTCCCTCTCCAATCCAATTAGCTGGGTACTCATCTTGGGCCTGGATTTTTACTTCTTTCCTGGAAGAAGAAGGGCACAGACCCGCTGCTGGGCTTATACATTGCCATATTTCCTGCTTTCTGTAGGACGCTGCTTTGTCTTCTTCAGGTCCTTCCTCCCTACAGACTCTTTCCATCTCCCTAACATGCTTGGGTCTCACTTGCCCTAAAAATATGAAAAATCAGGGGCGCCTGGGTGGCTCACTTGGTTAAGCGTCTGCATTTGGCTCAGATCATGATCCCAGGGTCGGGTTCCCTGCTCAGCGCGGAGTCTGCTTCTCCCTCTCCTTCTGCTCCTCACCCCACACTCGTGGTCTCTCTCTCTCATACTCTCAAATAAATAAATAAATAAATAAATAAAATCTTTGTAAAAAAATGAAAAATCAAAGCCCAGAATAAAAGCACCCCTTCCTCAACTTTGCTGTTCTCTTTCCTACCTTTCTTCCTGTCGTCTGTTAGCAAGGATAGGACCACCTTGCTAACAGAGGTGTTAGAAGCACCATCTTCCACATGCTGGGAAGGGGAGCAGAACCAGGTACTGGTGAATTCAGTAATGCTTTCTATAGGGACAAAACTTCTGTAGGGAGGTGCGTACATGGTGTCTTAACTTCCTCAGTGTTCACTCACTGACCCCTTGGCTCATATCTTCTGAAATCTGGTCTGTGTCACCATCACTGCACTCAAATTCAGGAACAACCTAGTCTTATACTGGCCTCCTAGTTGTATATCTAAATGTATTTTCTGGGCTATTTCTTCCTTGGTTTCTATAGAATTTGACCCAAACTTGAATCCCCTTCTTCCTGAATCCCCTTTTTGTCTTGCATGACAGCATTTACAGCATTTTCCACTTTCCCCTTGTCCTTTTCAACCCCTTTTGTTTGCAGAATCCTTCACTCATTTCTCTTGCTCTCCCTCCCGTTCAGTGTAGGAAGTCCAGGAGACTCCTCTCTGCACTCTGTCTTTGCGCTCCCTTGGGCTTCAGCCTTCTGTTGTAAGTAACTCCCCAGTCCATCCACCCATCCATCAGTCCATCCATCCATCCATCCATCCACCCATCCATCCATCCATCCACCCATCCATCCATCCACCCACCCACCTGTCCATCTGTTCATCCATCCCTCCCTCCATCCCTCCCTCCATCCCTTTCTCCAGATCTTGAACTACACTTCAAATTTTCACCTGCATTACACTTGCATTTCTAAATTAATGTAAATGCATAGTTTCTCTGAAAACCAACTTTTCTCCTGACCTAAAAATTTCTGTTAATGGAACCGTTATCAGTTAGAATGCTATGTTATGTTATGGCTAGAAGTAATGGAACAGCCCAACTCAATTGGCCTAAAATATAAGGAAACTTATTATTCTAGGTCAGGAGAAGTCTAGGGGCTTCTCTGGGCTCTGGCCTGCCCTGCGGGTCAGTCCTGACTTATGTTGGTTCCTGTCATGGTGGGTAGACATCCACAACAGCTCCAGGGATCATATTCAGATAGGTCAGCCTCCAGCAAGAGAAGCCAACTCTTCTCTGTGCTTCTTTTCAAGAGTGATAAAACATTTTCCAGAAATCTCTCTAGAAGTCTTCCTTTTGGTTTCCTAAGGAAAAAACTAATAACAGCTTTATTGAGATATAATTTGCCTACCAAATAATTAACATATTTAAAGTGTACAATTCAATGGTTTTTAGTACAATCACAGAATTGGCAGCTATTACCACAATTAATTTTAGAAGATTTGTATTGCCCTTGAAGAAATCCTATATCACTTCCTATGCCATTCTTCCCCCAACCCCTGACAACCACTAACCTACTTTCTGTCTTTATATGGATTTGCCAATTCTGAACATTTTGTTTAAATGGAGTCATATAATATGTAGTCTTTTGTGTGTGAGTTCTTTCACTTAGTATAATGTTTTGAGGCCTCTCCATGTTTTACCATGAATCAGTATTTCATTCTCTTTTTATTGTCACATAATATTCCATTATATGGATATACCACATTTTGTTTATCCATCCCTACTTGATAGATATTTGGGTTGTTTCCACTCATTTGCTTCTTTTTGCCAAGAATTTTGCCATATGCTCATGCCCAATCTGCTTCCTGGCAAGAAAATGGAGCCACCTGAGTGTCTTAGACACATCAATACCCACCCTCACCCCCTGGAGCTGCCGATAGGTGCATCTTTTATGAAGCAGTGGCCACTTAGAGGAGGGTGAATATTTGAACAAAATGTTGGAAGGGTGGGGTGATGGGAAATGTGGGATAGGAAAAAACAAACAAACAAACCAGGGTCTGCCATGGGCAACAGCCAAAATTTTTTTAATCCTGAAACTTTGGCTCTTTCTTCTTCCTGACCAGTGATATCCAGTTGGTAGCCAAGCTTGTATTTTTTTTAAGATTTATTTATTTATTTATTTATTTGAGAGAGAAAGGATGAACAGGGGGAGGAGCAGAGGGAGAGAGAGAATCTCAAGCAGACTCTGTGCTGAGTGCAGAGCTTCATGCTGGGCTTGATCTCACGACCCTAAGATCATGACCTGAGCTGAAATCAAGAGTCAGACACTTAACTGACTGAGCCACCCAAGCAGCCCCGGGCTTGTGTATTTGCTTTCTTCAGTGCCTCCTCCCTCCCTGCCTCTCCTCTTCCCTCCCAACACTTCGGTCCCCTCCCCAAGCCCGTGGTCATGTTACTGCCCATCTGCTTTATCCACCTCAAGATCCTCCTGCTTACCTCAGTCTTTCTGTTGCGTCCACCTTACACACCTTGTGAGAGCAAGCTTTTCACAGCATGGGTTTGCTAGAAATATCACAACCCCTGTTCAAAAGTCTTCCACAGCAACACCGCCTGGAAAATCAGTTCCCAATTCATCATTCACACATCTAAAGTCGGCTTCATCGTAACTTCAAATACCTTTTTTTCTTCTAAGTTACAAATTCCTTTCTTTCTTTATTAAAATCCTGCCCATTCTTTGAGGTGTCCCAAATAATAGCTAACATCCATTAAGCTGTTGTTATTTGCCTGCCCTGTTCTAATACTTACTGAGATTATTTCATTGATTCCTCGTAAGAAATCTCTGAGATACCCCCTCCCTCTTCCTCAAGTCAGTGATTCCCCCCCTCTTTCTTTTTCTCTTTCTCTTTCCCCCATTTCTTAAAGTAGGCTTTAGACTCCCCGTACATTTTTGTGGTGACCGAATGCCGGTTCATGTAGCGATCTGCTCACTGACCTGACAGTGCCACAGGGATCACAATAGACCTCTTTCCCCCAAGTCATACCTCCTGGTGCGCAAGGCTTGATGACCTTCTGGGATTTGTGTTCCTGTGTTTCCAAGGTCCGGGCTTGAGGAGACTCAATCCCAGGTGCCACCTGCCCGGTGTGACCTAGCAAAGACAGGCAACAATAGTAAAAAGACTCAGATTAAGGGAGCCCTATGCCGTGTCAGGCACTGTGATGAGTGCCTTATGTGCTCCAGTCTCACGTGACCCCTACTTCAACCCCACCCCCCGCCCCCGTGAGTACCCTCATATCATCACTGCAGAAACCAGGACCCAGAGAGGGTAAGCAACTTGGCCGATGTGGCACAGGCAGGAAACGGCAGAGACAGAATTGCCAACCAGGTCCGCCGGACTCCAAACCCCTTACTCTACCTCCCAGCCCACAGTTGGCGGGCCTGGATGGACCGTGGTCTGCAAGTAATTAGCACCAGCCGCTCTCCAGCAAACCCAAGAAACAACCCAATCTGTATAAGGGGAGGGGAGAGCCATCTTAAAAGAGAAAGCTTTTTTTTCCTCCCCAGCTGGCTGAGGGGGAGCACTTTGCCACAGGCTGCTAAGGGCAAGGAAGGGGCAGAATGTTCACTGAACGCTCATTCTCCCAATTGTTTGTTGATGACACTGAGCTCACACTCCAGGGAAAATGCAGGGTCTGAATTGAAATGTCGTCCAAAGCCATTCAGCTGGGGCTTTAAAAGAGGCTTTTGTTGGTGAAAATCTCTTTACTGTCCTGACTCTCCCCGGGCTCTGGGTTGTCTGATAAAATACAGGATAATCCGTTCAACTTGAATTTGAGATCAACACCAAATGTTGTTTCAGTGTAAGTATGTCCCATGCAATATTTGGGACATACTCATACAAAAACGGTATTCATTGTTTATCTGAAATTCAAATTGAACTGGGTGTCCTGTATTTTTATTTGCTAAATCTGGCAACCCTGCCTGGGCTTGGAGGAGAAGCCTGAACCCTTCTGCCTTGTGCCCAACCAGAATCCAACAGGGTATGTCATTCCTGTGAAGGAAGCAGAATCTCGGGACACATTCTAGAAGCTGCACGCCTGTGCTTACTCTACCATTTTTCCTTTAAGAAGACTTTTTAAAAATGATGCAGGCTTTGTAAGTCCTAATACCAGTAATGATAATAATCCTTTCAGGAACTGAGAGATGTCCTGAGGGTTTGGGGGGAATCAGCTTCCCACTGAAGTTCCTGGAAACCGCACGGTGCCATTCGTATTTAATAAAGAGCAGACAGCGTTGCTCCCCCAGCATCTTGCGCTGGAGTGGCGCCGGCCTCCCCGGACCCCAGGACGGAAGGCCCCTCCTCTAGACCCCTGCCCATGGAGGATCAGGTGCAGGAGAAGGGAAAGAGGGCAGGAGTGGGAGGAGGCTTTCTTCCACGGCAGTGCTCCCTGCTTCCCTCTCCGCTCTGAATCTGAGAGCACATTCTTGGCATCGAGACTCTCCTACTTGGACCCTTGCTCTTGTCTTGGTTCCTGGCACAGTGAACTTGGCCATTCGCTGCCATGATGGCCCTTCCAGGGAGAGCCCCGTATAACCATCAGCAGGCCAGCTGTCAGAGCAGCCTCTTCAAAAGAGAAGACACCCTGGGAGGGAGAGGATTTGCCAAGCAACTAAGTGTCCCCGTGTTTCCAGGTGTTTAGTATATGTTTGTGGGTGTGCACAGCGGGGAGAACAAGGACCCATTGTGTTCTGGACTCTGAGGCTGGCCAAGGGCCCGGTAGCCCGGGTGGGTCATGATTCACTGCAACTCAACGCATTTTTATTGAGCTTCTAAGCTCGACGCCCTGCACTCAGCCTGTAAGAAATGTAGAGATAAGACTGATCTCTGCTTTCAAGGGACTTAAACTCAAATAGGGGATAAGGCAAAGAAACAGCCCTGTAACATGCAGAGTAGTATAAGTAGCCTCAGAAGGAGAAAAGCCAGAGTTTTTAAGATGTTCAAGAGAGAGTGAAAACATTTGCTTGGAGAGAAATGTGACAGAGGAGGTGGCATTCGATAGGAGCTTTGTTGGGTGGATGAGATTGCATCAGGTGGGGCTTGGAGGGGAGGATGGAATTGACAATGAGTGTTTTGTTGTGTTTCAAGGGGGAATACATCCATTCCTAACATAGATCCAGAATGAACCACTCACGGTGAGCATGGTCATACCAGGGGTAGGGCTCAAAGCAGAACAGCACGAGCAATTTTATTCTCATGCTTCCTCACCTTGCTGTAGCCTTGACTGACATAGTATCAGTGGTATTCAGCTGGTCTCGGTGACTGGTATGGACAGCTAGACCAAAACACCAAGCCCGCATGGCAGACATTGTGTTAGGTGATTGGCATAGTTTCTTACTCCAAATGAGTAATATTCCTGGGCAACAGCGTCATCTCAATTGCCAGATTCAGAATAGGTCAAGTCAGTTTATACAAGCCCACCTCATCTGCCAGTCTGCCTACATTCAGGCTTTCTTCCATTATAACACAATTTGTCTACTCCTTTCTTCCCTCCGAGTTTTTTTTTTTTAAGGTTTTATTTATTTATTTGAGAGAGAGAGAGAGAGAGCATGAGTGAGGGGAGGGGTAGATGGAGAAGCAGGCTCCCCACTGAGCAGGGAGCCTGATGTGGGGCTTGATCCCAGGACCCTGAGATCATGACCTGAGCTGAAGGCAGCCGCTTAACCATCTGAGCCACCCAGGCGCAGCCCCCCCTTTTTTTGGATATACAGTTTTTGTCCATGTGTAGATTCAGTAAACATGACCAATATGACTCATGTATAACCAATTCCTGTCAAAGTCTTACCTGAGTGGAATCCTATTGCAGTGAATTTCACTACAACATGGGTTTTGGATTTGTGAGCCATGGTGCCATTTTGAACTCTTGTTATCACTGTGGGCTGCTTTGTATGTAAGCATTACACAGTTACTTAATCAAGAAATCATGTAAATTTTTGGTAGTCTCTGATCCATCTCTTTAGAAATTTTTGGTCTTTAAGTGGAGTATTTATGTGATGATTGTTACTGAACACCTGTATTCTGTTGTTTACTTAGATATTGCTGGAAAATGGCTGCGTTTAGTCATAAAGTTCTGGAGAAGAAAAGGACACCGCTCCTTTCAGAAAGAGGTGGTGGGCTGTGGCAGCCCGTGAAAGCAATGGCACACTCTTTGGTGTAGAGACCACTTTCCTTGTCAACCAAGCCTTGAGGAAGGAGGAAGAGGTAGAGCTCTGAGTAGGCCCAAGTAACCATTTCCTGATTTAGAAAAAGTGGTCATAGGGAAACACTGTCACACAGACCTAGTGGTTGAGCTCTCTTCTTAGCTAATCTTCAAGGGATTGAACGAGGTTTTTTTTAAACTAACAGCAAAAAGAAACAATCCCCTTAAAATTAACCCCTGGATATAACGCAGAATGGAGTCCCTAGGTACATGGCTGCCTTCTCCCAGGAGGGCCCTGTGCTGAGGCCAGTCAGAGAGACAGTGGTGTGAGTGAGGGCTCTCTCCCAACAGCCCGGGCACGTTACTTACTCTCTTCATATTTCACTTCCCGTGTCCAGTACATGGCATCATACTGTTGCTTCCCTGGGCTGATATGAAAATTCACTTATTCAGCACAGAGGGAATGAGCTCGTCCTATGTGCTGGCCCTTTGCAAAGACAGTAGATGGCCCCTGGCTTGACGGGCTGGCTAAAGGAACGGGTGACTTCAGGGTCAAGCATGGAGCCCACACAGGATTGAGGCAAGCTACTGTCCCAGTTATGAGAAGTACAAGCATCTATACAGGCCCATTTCTCAGGCTTCTTTCAAAGAACATGCTCATGTGAAGCACCAATGAGTAGAGTGTTAGTTTGAAGTTCTAAAGTTGGGGTGGACCCCCAGTGTGAGCTTTTTGTAGGCCCGGGAACAAGATGCAGTTGGGTTAAGTGGTCATTGATAACAACAGTGTTTCATGGGGGAAGGACTTTCCAATTAGAGTCCTAAAGTTGGAATTTCTCTCTTTTTTAAACTCTTCTATAATGACATATCTGTTATATATAGGTACATGCTGGAAGTTAACAAGTAGTTAAATCATGTATGTGGATACTTTCACAAATAGTTTTTTCTTTTGTTCTTTCTTTACCTTTCATCCTCCCTCCCTCCTCCCCCTCCCTCCCTCCCTTCTTCCATATGAAAAGTATCAAGACTAGGTCTTATACTTTGAAAAGCCTAATCAGTTCATCAACAAAGGACCTGTCATAACTAAGGCTCCCTCCATCTACTATAGAAATGGCGGTCATGGGGTGCCTGGGTGGCTCAGATGGTTAGGTGTCTGCCTTCAGCTCAGGTCATGATCTCAGAGTCCTGGGATCAAGTCCCATGTTGAGCTGTCCACTCACTGGGGAGTCTGCTTCTCCCTCTCCCTCTGCCTCTTCCCCTGCTTGTACTGTCTCTCTCTCAAATGAGTAACATAAAATCGTAAAAAAGAAAGAAAAGAAATGGCGGTCATGGTCCTATTAGAAATGAACCAATGTCTCTGTCAACCAACAGAAAATGTCACTGCAGTGTTGCCATATTTGTGGTGACAATATTTATGTACTTGCTATCTTATCTCCCCACATAAAAAACCACATTATTCCCTCTTAAATATAGATGTCCAAGGTTAACTTGAGACCACAGAAAAGATCTTCCAAGACAACATTTCTTCTAAGTACAGACTATAAAAAAAGTAGCAGAGAATGATGCTTTTTGTGTACTGGAGTTTTAACTGCCATATGGTGCAAACTAGACTGTATTTCTAACATATATCAAGGAACAAATCAATCAGTCAACAAACAGTTATTAAATATATGAGTATGTGCTTTGCCCAACAAGAATCCATGTTGTATCCTGAGGCAGTTACCCTCCAAATTTAAGTAGACAAATAGTAAGACAGAATTTTTTCCTTTGGAGTCCATGACTTTGGGGAGATCACAAGAAGTTAATTAGCAATTAAAACCATGTGACATTGCTCCTTTCGAACATGACAAACACAGGGGAGAACTGGGAGGGCTTTGTGAACACAGGTAGGGTTTAGGTGACTCATTTTCCATAACTTGTGTAATGACAAACCAGGGACAAATGTCTTCCTAGAAGTTTCAGCTGCCATGTGGTACAAGACAGA